CGCCCGGGGCTTTCCGGCTGTGCAGGAGCTGCCCTTTGCCCCTGGTCTCTCTCACACACTTTGAAGGAACTACCCTTTCTTCTTCTTGTCCCCAACACCCTTCCCTCCATGGGAACTACCCCTTTTCTCTGGTCAACACCACACACACACACTCTCTCTCTCTCTCTGAAGGAAAGAACTACCTCTTTCCTCCTCTCTCTCTCTCTCTCTCTCCCCCCTCACACACACTTCGAAGGAACCACCCCTTTCTTTCCTCCTGTCCCCAACACACATACAGCACACACTTTGAAGGAAGTATCCTTTTCCTTTTGTCTTACACAAGCACAATCACTTTCTACCTTTTACAGGATCTATCCTTTTGCTCTTGTCCCCAACCCCCCCCCCCCCCCCCCCCCCCCCAGCTCTCCATTTCCTCTTGTCAACACGACACACACATTTTGAAGGAACTACCCCTTTCTCTCTCTCTTCCTCCTCTCTTGTCACACACAATCATGCACATTGTGCAGGAACTACCCCCTTCCTCTTGTTGCATACATACACACTTTCAAGGAACTACCCCTTTTTTCCTTCTTGTCCCCAACAACTGCCCCCCCCCCCTTTCCTCCCATCTCCAGCACACACTTAAAAGGAAAGGGGTACTTCCTTCAGTCTCACACAGGCACAATCACTCACTCTTACAGGAGCTACCCTTTCCCTCTTGTCCCCAACACGTACACACTTTGAAGGAACCACCCCTTTCTTTCTTCTTGTCCCCAACACCCCACTATCCCTTTCCTCATGTCCCCAACACGCATGTCCACTGCAAATCACTTCTGCCCTAGACTTCCAGCTCCTTCCCTCCCTCTCTCTCTTTCATTAATGCCTGACTCCTCCTCCCTCTTCGCTTGGAAAGGCTAGACAGCTGTCACCCACAGGCAGCCAGGGAAGAAATAAGTTGGGAGCAAGCCATTATCTCCTCAGCTGGAAGAAAGGTCCTGCTTTCCCTGGCTGCCCACAGCCCCCAAAGAACTTAGGGCTTCATCGTGTCACAGTGCCCACACAAAGTGGGAAGGGGGTTGGTAAGGTAGGCTCAGGCCTGGAGATGTCCCCAGCTGAGACTGTGGAGAGAGCAGAATGGAAGGAGAAGCTTAAGACAGCACCGGAAGCAAGTGTGTTTGCCATAAATTGGCAATTGCCTCCATCTCACAGGTCACAGGAGGCTGCCAGCTTCATCACACCTATTACCTCAGTACAAACAGCTGATGTGCTGGGATTAATGTATAAATTGTGATCAAGGGAACAGTGTCTGCCTTTTATACACAATACAATAGTTGTTAGGGGTGATCATAGTGGAAGAGAACCCTCTAGGACATTAATTTGCAACAGCACCTGTCTATAACAACAGTGTTCCCCACCAGGGTGCTGCAATCCCCCCTGGGCTGCCTTGAGATCCTTTCAAGGGTGCTGTGGGGTGTCATGCAATGTTAGCATTATCAGGTGTGCAAACACAATTCACAAGACAAACCTGGAGATTTCAAATAGGAGCTGTTGCCATTTTGGAACCTGATGTGGTCTTTTCCAGGTTCTTTGCAACAGAAGAATTAAAAAAGGCTAAGAGCTAACATTTTTGGAGAGGGCGGCTTGAGTCTAAGGAGGAGGGGTGCCTTGGGTCTAAAAAGGTTGAGATCCATTGTTCTGTAGTAATAGTCTGTACTGCCCAGGGTGTTCTGCATGAATTGTAGTTCCAGGAAATGCAGTCTCACGTTGGAAACCACATGGGGCATTAAACCTTCATAATGCAAGTGACTATTAAGAAATCACGCAAGTGCAGCTTTCCAAAGATGGGAACCCTTAGCAGACTCATGTTCTACCATCAACAATATTGGTCTTCGCACCTCTTGAATAACAATAAAGTGCCAGATAATTAAAAGAAGCTGAAAGTCTGAAACCCTTAACAAAAATAAAAGGATGCCAGGCAAGTCCAATCAGCACCATCTCCTTTTTTCCCTTCAGAGGATGCGTCTGACTGCACAGCTGTTAAGCAAGTATTAAATGACTGTGCAGTAACCGCTGTTACTAAGCAATTGCAGTGGCGCATGGATCATTTCTGACCCAACTGTGCAGTAGCATTGGTGTCACGGTTTGTGGCCGCTGAAGTTACGTCGCTACCTACACCGATATAGCCCAACGATAAGTAAAGTGGGAAATGTCTGTCCCTAATTCAGAGTCTAAAGAATCACTAAACAATTTGCTGCCCTGGGCAACCACTTGTCTGTCTTCCTGTGTAAACCATCACCGAGTTAAAAGGATTTAGGAAGGGGAGCTTGCAGCCTGCTAGAGAGGAACCTCCCTTACTTTCAAATACACTTTTGAAAGGATCTGGAAGGGTTTTACAGGCATCAGTCAATCAATCCTGGCAAATAGCATTATTTCCATTTTACAGCTGAAACTAGTGAGGTCTAGTAGCAACTTGTGGGTGAAGAGGGAGGTGGAAGGGCAATGGGCTTTCCCTGAACGTTGCCTGGCAGCTCCATCTTTAAGAAAAAGACATCTGGTGAAACCCAAACCTTCTCTGAATGCTAGAAGGAAGGAAGAGCTTTTTCTCTTTCAAGCCCTTCCCAGGGGCATCTAACTTTCACATGATAATTGCTCCTTATGCCTCAGGTTTTGAACCCTCCCCACTATTTCCACCCCTCCTGAATAGTTTCAGTGCAGTTACTGCAGCTCAGAGCTTTCCCAAGTAACCAAGCTAAAGAGGTTCTCCTTATTTTCAGTGGTGTCTGCAGGGTTGACTAGAGAAACTGATCGAGTTTTGTTAATTCCACTCAGCTGGTGCATTTGACAGGCTTCTTGTCTTTTTCACTGATGTCTGTGGAGCGCTTAACAGTCAGGGGTAACTGATTAGAGTTTTGTTAATTCTAATCTGCTGCTACCTGGGAAGATTATGAGCAGGGACAGGGGCAATCCTTTTTTTTTTTTTTTTTTTTCCTGCTTGCGGACTCAGGTGGACAAAGCTGATTAAGTTCATATTCAGGAGGTTCATTTTCACATTATTAAGGGTCAGAACAGCCAGTTTCAAACTTTATGGACCAAAGAATCACTGCCAACCACTAAAAAGTCTCACAGACAGCTTCGCAAATTAACTGTCAAATTGAAAGGGGAAGATAGTATGATCTACAGACCAGCTGCAAACCACTTACCATGGAACACAGATCACAGTTTGGGAACCAGTGGTTTAGAAACTATATGTTTCAATAAAAAGCTTGAATTCTGCAGGAATTATGTAAGACTCCTGGCTGAGGGAAATATTCTACTTGTCTACTTGCTAGGTGAGTAGATTTTTCAAGTTCAGCTATCCCTGGTCTCTAGCCCCCTACAAACCTAGATAGTAAAATCATAAAATACCACTTGTATCTTAGGTTAAGAGCAGCAAAATAACCCTGAGACTGGCAATCTTTATAGTGTCACAGCAATGGTGGTAAGTTGTTCAGTTAACAGGAATCAAAGAATTAGGACCTCTATAAAAGAGCTGAGAACATGGGGTAATGGTCCCACCTCTCCAGGAAAAGGAAATTAAAAAACTAATCAGGAATGTAATTTTGTGCCCCCTCACAGCAATAAGGTTATATATAATGAGCAATTCTCAACCTTATTTTAGACTGAAGGTATTCCTCAGAAAATGCTGATTCTTAGTTTTCACTTATTTTGACTATGGAAAAAGTAGCAATTCTTCTGTTGAAAAGAACTCAAGAGACAACAAGTTGGAATGTTTTTGATACTGGCTTCCTATTTAAAATCTTTAGGTGTATTTTGGGAATTAGTGCATTGTGTGCCTACCACCCCCCATGGCACTCTTGAAAGGATCTCAAGGCATTGCACCCCCAGGGTAGCATGGCATCCTAGCTGAGAATCACTGATGTATGTAGATCAGTCAGCAGCTACATTTTATTTTACGATACTCTAAGTGCCTTTGTTGCCAAGATACGGTATCATCTCCAGATAAGATAATTGCAATTAGAGAAAGTCTATACTTTCCAAAGTATGCAATGTATGCTGTGTTCTTTTCCAAATATTCAAATGAAAACTAGTCTTTTTGTAACATTAAATCAGTTGTTAAAAGTTTTTATGTACCTGGTCTCCTTTTGCACTACAAATGCTATGAGTCAAGCATCTTCTGCATGCAGGTTTGTATTTTCTCTGTTTATAGTAAATTATGTGTGCATATATTTCAGATGCACTCACACATCATCACCACAGCAGGATCTGTGTCTGACCATACAGTGGTGTACTGTATTATTTCTGCCTCTCTACATCTTTCCTTTATTCATGCAGGTGGTTTATAACGATGGCTTTGACTCTACAGCAGTGGTCATCAACCAGTGGATCTCGATTCAGTGGTAGATCTCGGAGCCTCTTGGAGTCAATCCAAGGCTAGGGTGGGGGGCTGAGTGCCTATGTGCATGCACACGCATGTCCTAGTCCAACAGGTCAGTTCACGGGGGAGAGGAGGGGAGGGAAGGGATGGGGGCTAGATCAAGGCCCCCATGGTGAGGGACAGTGCCACAGAGGCAAGAGCAGGGGTAAGCTGAGTGGGGCCCTAGCTGGGTGGGACTTGCCTGGTGGGGAGGCACACCCTCAAATAATTTTTTCTCCCTTTGCCACGATCTGTCCCCACCCCCTTCCCTCCCTACAGACTTACCTGATGGGTGGTGGCGGCACATGTTACATCTTGGGTTGCTTTTAAATGCCAAAGGCAATCGCCTACTTAGGCTAGAGAC